CTTTTATTGGAATAACTTATATAGGAAAAGATATCTCACTTATATAAAAAGTGATCTCAATTATATATGGAATTTTAAAAAATTAAACTTACAGAAGCAGAGAATAGAATGGTGGTTTTCTGGACCTAGTTGAGGTGGGGGGGGTCAAGTTGAGAGATGTTCAAATGACACAAAATTTCAGTTAGATGGGAAGAAAAAGTTCAAGAGATCTATTGTACAGTATGGTGGCTATAGTTAATAACAATATGTTGTATACTTGAAAATCACCGAGAGTTGATTTTAAGTGTTCTTCTCACAAAAAATGTTAATTATCTCAATTTAATCATTCCGCAATGTATACAGATTTCAAACTATCATGCTATAACCATAAATATATACAATTTTTATTTGTCAATTTAGAAAATAAATTAACAAATTTTACAAATAAATATATGAATGAAAACAATTTTGAACTACCTAATGGGTATAATGAACACTATTCAGGTGATGGGCACACTTACAGCCCTCACTCAAGCATTACAAAAGTGATCCATGTGACAAAAACATTTGTACCCCCTTAATATTTTTAAATAAAATTTCAAAAGAAAGAAACAATTTTGGAGGCAAAAAAGAGATAGAGAAAAAAAATACTGCAAGTTCAAAATTAAATCGTAATTTAGGAATGGACAATGCAGGAGACTCGCTGCTCTCAGGTTCCTCCAGCTGAACCTGCTTTTCCATGTTCTCCCCCAACCCCCACAGCCTGCTCACCCTGCGCACTCATGGGCCACAGCTCGTGTGGTGCTGCTGGGGCCTTTGGCTGAGGCACTCTGCCACCTCACTGCTTGCCTTCCAGATCCCTCCCACCCTGTAATGATCCAGCTTGAAAATCACCACTCCAGTCAAATGTTCCTTATGGCCTCCACCTGGGATGGTTGTCCCCTCGTCTGAGCTCCTAAGGCACTAGTTGTGTGTGACAGTGGTGTGGCGTGTAAATCACACCCTTGTCTTCCACCAGACTGTGAGGCTTTCAAGGCAGGCTCCAGGTATTGACACCTGTGCATCCATGGCTCTGCCAGCTGACATAGGACTGGTCCCATCATAATTTCTCAATAAGCACTCTGTGATTTATCATAAGTTGAACATTTATCTGCCTCAACTCTTTCCTAAGATCATGGTAAGCTCTTTAATGCTAGGATAGGATCTCCTTATGTCTGGTAATGCATTACACTAGAGAGATGCTATGAATGTGCAGCAAAACTTAGCTCACAAATTTACAAAGGGGGTTCAACCTGGCTTCTTAACATAGGATTTCCATTTTATGTAAAATAAAATAAAATTTTATGTAAAATAAAAAATAAAATTTCCATTTTATTTCCTTTTTATTAGAAAAATAATAGCAATAATAATTTATATACACACTGCAAAATGAATGGAAGGGAATATACCAAATATGAATAATAGTTCACTCTGGTGGCAGAATTATGGGCAGTTTTTTTTTCCTGTATTTTTATATAGCTATACTTTTAAATTTTCTACTTAAATAACTAGAATAAATTATATTAAAATGTTGAAAAAAATCTAAATCAACTAAAAGATTTCAAAAACTTAAAAAGATTCCATTCCCCTCCAGATGTCATTGCCTTTTGTTTGGGGAACTTCAACTTCACAGGGCTCTTCATTCAGTTCAACTACTAATGACACACAACAATTTTCTCCTGAGTACTTTACACATCCCTTTATTGTCCTTTCTCCTTGATGACTAGTGCCCAGCACCTCTTGAATTCCTTCAAATTTTACTGTGCTAGAAAAAGGAAAGTCAAGTGAATCAAATGTGTCACTTTCAAATTGGACAATTTTGCAAATAGATTACTGATGCAGAACTGAATATATCAAACATATTGAATGACACTTTTGTCCAAGGCTACGGGCATTCCAAGTTGATGAATGCAGCAACTAAAGTTGACACTAAAATGAGTTAGATAATTTTAAAAGCAAAACAAATATTAAAATAAGAGAAGTGGGCGTACAGAAAATATCAAGAACAAATATGTTTGCAGTGTTTGTTACTGTCGTGGAAAGCTTGCTGTCGTCGTTATTGTTGTGGTTACTATTTATCATTAACCATGATGAATAACATTATTTAACTTTTCTTGCAAAGTGCTTTTCTATCTCTTTTGCTAAGTGTAATTTCTATTATCAGAAGAGAAAAGTCAGGGCTGATATATGTCAGCACATGCTGTGAATGTGCTTCAAACATTCATATTTGTAACTTAAATGTCCCACTTCACCAACTAAGTTACAAAATAAGGTCATATCTCTTTTCATATCCTAACCATAGTAACTTTAGGTTCCCAAATGCCCACAATGAAAGGAAGTCAAAACCTTCTGTAGGTCTTCCTCAACCCAAGGAGTTTCTGGAACTCTTTTGACATGTTTTGCCTGTTTTACAAATCAGTCCTAGTGCTCACTTGCCCCTTTTACCACTCTGGCCTCCAATCCCTGGAATATCAGGACTATCATGCTTCATTGTGCCAGCTCAGAGCTTATTCCTCTGGGTTGTGCAGATTAGATCCAAGTGTGGACTCTCTTCTCTCTCCAACTGCCCTAAAGGCACAATCAAGACCAGTCAGTGGTGTTGGCCAAAGATATAGTGAAGGTTCGGCATTAACAGAACTCAATGCTAAGAATGAGCCACACTTTCATTGCTGTTGTCACTCCTAGAGCTCACAAACCCTAAAGCCAACTTCAGAGTCCCTGTGTTGCTCTCTGGTGACTCCACGTTGATGTCATTGACTCACCTTGTAATCTTCTTTCCACCACCATTCATGAGACTCTCCAGACCACTGTAACCCATAGTGATGGGCTCTTAATCTTCCCGCCCAGATAGTAAAAATAAAAGTTTCTTCCCCTAAATTCAAGACACACCTTTCTTCCCCAAGTGTGACTGAGAGCAGGAATAGTCAGGACCTTTAGGGGAATCATTCATACCCACTCACAGGTCAAAATTTGACCTCCATGGCATCGACAGGACTATTTTAATGCAGACAGTGCATTTCCCAAAGTCTGGGTTTTCACTCTTCATTAACTCTGTGGCAGATACAATGCTAGACAGTTGCCCAAGTTCCATTTCCTATTCCTGGGCACACAAGAAGACAGCATTTCCCAGATTCCCTTCCAGTTAGGTCAGACCATCTGTCCAATTCTGGTCAATGGGCTGTGTGGTCTTCTTAGCAGAGACAGTGAAAAGTCCCTGTGCAACCCTCCAGCTCTCTCTCACTCTGTCACAATGGTCACAGAAATTATGTTTTCCAGATGTAAATGGCCTGTATGTTTCAGTCACTTCATGTGAGGGAGCCACCCTAGAGAGCTGAAGATGTGACAGCTACTAAAAAAATAAATATTTCCTGAGGCCTATTATTTAATAGTGTGCTAGAATTGAAGACATAGGGTAGGAAGTGAGACATTTTTCCTGCCTTCATGGTCTTAAGAATTTTATTTCATGCTAAGGAGTTTGTAATTCTTCTTAAGAACAACCATGAGAGCTTGAAGGACTTTAAGCAAGGACGTTGTGTTAGTTGGGGCTCTCCAGAGAAACTCAGGGCATAGTGCAAATCCCTGAGAACCTGAACGGTGGTGGTGTGGAGATTCCAGTCTGAGTATAAAGGCCATAGAACCAAGAACACCAAGGCCAGGACACCAGTGTTTTGCTCAAGCAGTCAGGAAGTCTCTCTTTCTCCACTTTTTTGTGCTAGTGGGGCCCCTCAAGGGATTTTATAAAGCCTAACCACACTGGGGAGTGCAGTCCACTGTATACAATCAAATCCAATGCTAATCTCTCCCAGAAACACCCTCACAGACTCACCCAAAAATGTTTAGCCAGATATCTGAGCATCCCATGATCCAATCAAGTTGACACATAATTTTTTTTTTTTTTTTTTTTTGAGACAGAGTCTCTCTGTCAGGCTAGAGTGAGTGCCATGGCATCAGCCTAGCTCACAGCAACCTCAAACTCCTGGGCTCAAGCAATCTTCCTGCCTCAGCCTCCCGAGTAGCTGGGACTACAGGCATGTGCCACCATGCCCGGCTAATTTTTTCTATATATATTAGTTGGCCAATTAATTTCTTTCTATTTATAGTAGAGACGGGGTCTTGCTCTTGCTCAGGCTGTTTTCGAACTCCTGACCTTGAGCAATCCGCCCACCTCGGCCTCCCAGAATGCTAGGATTACAGGTGTAAGCCACCACGCCCAGCCTGACACATAAAATTAACTATCACAAATGTACCATGATCCAAGATTCTTCTTAGAAAGATCTCTGTAAGAAACATGTGAGAAATATACGCAAAGTAGAAAGACTAGCCGCAGTGATTCGGGGAGGAGCTGGTGCTGGCCTGAAGTAGGGTGGTAGCTGTGAAATGAATGAAGATTAGAGGCACAGAGTGGGCATGGAGAGAAACGGCTGGGTGTGATAGGTGACTGTCTCCATGCACATGAAAATTTAAAGTTCTGCTAAATATTCTTTTTCAGAAGACTGCTTTATAGAGATTTATGCTCATTTTTATAATTTATAAGACGTGTTTCAAAATAACCAAAAAAGAAATAGCCTCTGCCCTGAATCGGTACCCCAGAGCTCTCGGCAGCATGGGGCCTCTAAGGAGGATGGGTGTTCAGCATCACCTGCTAGATACTTCCTTCTGCACAGGGTCGGGGATCCCTGCCTCTGACATGGAAAGGGCTAAACAGTGGGGTGAAGAACTGCATGCTATCAAGAACTGTATGATCTGAAGAGGAAAAATTATCTTTAATTATCTTCCTTTACCCCCTTCTTTCTGACTAAACAAAATGTTCTTTATCTCCTCCAGTCAACCAAGCACAGCTGTCCACCTGAGCCCCTTATCCTCTCCTAAACATCCATGTGGTAAGTTTCCTTTGGCCTCACGAAAGGAGTTAGACTCGAACAGCAAGATCTGCGATTCAGAGGAGGTTTGGGGCTTACTTCATCTTATTGGCAGTTCCTTACCTATCCTGCAGTTCTCAGCCAGCTGAGCATCCCCCATGTCTGCCTCCTGTCCCACAAGCGATCCTCAACTTTTCTCATTACATGGTAACTGCATTTAAATGTTTCTGAATTGACTCTTTTCTGAACAGTCAACTCCGACTCTTGTTGCTTTGTTTTCTTTCTTTTTCTACAATAAATAGTACAGAAAGTAGGCTCATAGAAAGTAAAATGTACAGTCTATGGCCATACCCACATACCCAATCTCTTCTGATCTTGGAAGCTAAGAAGGGTCGGGCCTGGTTAGTACTTAGATGGAAGAAAGTAAAATGTACAGTTACATTGTAAAGTTTGTTTTGTAATATTTTATTCCTTAAGTACTTTTTAATTTTGATACTGAAAATAGAAACCAACCATGATTTTAAAAACAGTAAGGATTTGATTAGGAAAAGATGAGAAAAGCACAAAGGGAGACAGAGCAAAACAGTAAGAAACCACATACTTTCTTCATTATCTCCTGGTTAGAGAGGATGTATTTTAGGCCAGAGTTGAGGAAAACCCTTCAGACTCAATGTTTTTCCTTTGTTGGTTGTCCATGCTGCATTCCTTTGACCAATTTCCGATTCTAGCCACAGCTGAAGTGGGCAGTGCCCACTGTGGTGGGCAGCCCTTGCTGTGGTACAACAGTCCCCAATGGGGAGAGCAGTCCTCACTGTAGTAGAAGGTCCCTGTAATCGCACACAGTCCCTACTGAGTTTGACAGCCCCCAATGTGGTATGCAGTCCCCATGTGGTAGGAATTACCTGCTGTGGTGGACAGTCCCAGCCCTGGAGGACAGTCTCCACTATGGTTCTCAGTCACATGTGGTGGGCATTCCTGGCTGTGGTATGCACTCCCTGCTGTGGTACCCAGCACCACTCTGGAATACACTCCCATGTGGTAAGCTGTCCCCACTCTGGTGGACAGTCCCCACTCTGGTGCACATTTCCCACTGTGGTGGACAGTCCCCACCAGGATGGACAGTCCATGCTGTGGTATGCAGTCCAGCTGTGGTGTGAACTCCCTGCTGGGTATGCTGTCCGCACTGTTCTGGACAGCCCCTGCTATTATGTGCAGTCCCACTATGATGGGCTGTCCCCGCTACGGTGCACACTCTCCACTTTGGTATGTGCTTACCACTTTGGTGGGCTGTCTTTACTGTGGTGGATGGTCCCCACAATGGTATGCAGTCCCCATGTGGTGGGCATTCCTCACGGTGCTGAGCAATCCCTGCTGTGGTAAAGAGTCCCTGCTGTGGTACACAGTCCCCTCTGTAGTAGGCAGTCCCCACTGTGGTGGGCAATCCATCCTGTGGTGTGCAGTCCCGCTCTAGTGGGCTATGACTTCAAGGAATAAGTTGAATAGGACTGGTGAGAGAGGGCAACCTTGTCTGGTCCAGTTCTAAGCAGGAATGCTTTCAATTTTTCCCCATTCAGTATGATGTTGGCTGTGGGTTTGTCATATATGGCTTGTATCATTTTTAGGTAAGCCCCATCTATGTCTATTTTATTAAGCATTCTTATCATAAAAGGGTGTTGAATTTTGTTGAATGCTTTTTCTGCATCTTTTGAAAGGATCATATGGTCTTTGTTTTTGCTTCTATTTTTGTGGTGAATTACATTTATAGAGTTGCGTATGTTGAACTGTCCCTGCATCTCTGGGATGAAGCCCACTTGGTAGTGATGGATTATTTTTTGATAAGCACCTGAATTCGGTTTGCTAGGATTTTGAGAATTTGTGCACCTATATTCATAAGGGATACTAGTCTATAGTTTTCTTTTTTTGTTGCGTCCTTTCCTGGTTTTGGTATCAGGGTTATGTTGGCTTCATAAAGTGTGTTGGAAATGATTCCTTCCTTCCAATGTTGTGGAATAATTTCTGCAGGATAGACACCAGTTTTTCTTGGTAGGTTTGGTAATTCGGGTGTGAAACCATCTGGTCTGGGACTTTTCTTTTTAGGAAGGTTTTTTATTGCTGTTTCAATTTCAGTACTTGATATTGGTGTGTTCAGGAATTCTATTTCTTCCTGGTGGAGCCTAGGGAGTCTGTGTGTTTCTAAGAATTTGCCCATTTTCTCCACATTTTTCAGTTTATGTGCATAAAGGCTTTTATAGTATTGATAGATTATATTTTGTATCTCTGTGGCATCAGTTGTAATTTCTCCTTTTTCATTCCTGATGGAGCTTATTAGAGTTCTTTCTTTTCTGCTTTTTGTTAGTCTAGCCAAAGGCGTGTCAATTTTGTTTATTTTTTCAAAGAACCAACTTTTTGTTTTATTGATCTTCTGTATAGATTTTGCTGTCAATTTCATTTAGTTCTGATTTGATCTTATTAATTTCACTTCTTCTGCTGGGTTTGGGGTTGTACTGTTCATCCTTTTCTAGTTCTTTGAGATGATTCATTAGATTATCTATTTGTGATCTTTTTGTCTTTTGGATATAGGCATTTATGGAAATAAACTTTCCTGTCAGAACTGTTTTAGCTGTGTCCCACAGATTTTGATAACTAGTGTCTCCTTTGTCATTTAGTTCAGAGAATCTTTTGATTTCCATCTTGATTTCCTCATTTATGAAATAATCATTCAGCAGAATATTGTTTAATTTCCACAACTTTGTATAGAGATGAGCGTTTCTATTAGGGTTGATTTCTAATTTCATTGCAGTGTGACAATCTGAGAAGCTGCATGGTATAATTTCTATTTTTTTAAATTTTTGGAGACATGCTTTGTGACCTAAGATATGGTTAATCTTAGAGAATGTCCCATGAGCTGATGAGAAAAACGTATATTCAGTGGTTTGGGGGTAGAATTTTCTGTAATTGTCAGTCAGGTCCATTTCCCTTTTTTTTCTAGAGTTCTGTTTAAGTCCATTATTTCTTTGTTAATTGTCTGTTTGGATGATTTGTCCTGTTTTGTCAGAGGGGTGTTGAAGTTTCCAGCTACTATAGTGTTGCTGTTTATCACTTTGTTTAGATCAAGTAGACTTTGCTTTATGAATCTGGGTGCACCTAAGTTGGATGCATACAAATTTAGAATTATTATGTCTTCTTGTTGAACTATACCCATCACCATTATATAGTGACCCTCATTGTCTTTCATTACTTTTGTTGATTTAAAGACTAAGTTATCTGAAATCAAAACCACCATGCCAGCCTTCTTTTGGCTTCCATTTGCTTAAGATATTGTTTCTGCCCCTTCACTTTGAGTCTGAATACAACCTTGAAGGTTAGATGTGTTTCCTGAAGACAGAAGATACTTGGCTTGTGTGTATTTATGCATTCAGCCAGCCTATGTCTCTTTAGTGGGCAGTTCAGGCCATTCACATTTATTGAGAGAACTGATAGGTGGGGCAAATTTCTGTTCATTCTGAACTCTGTTGCTTTTGTTTTCTCTCTTGAGCCTTTGTGGTATCTGGCCTTTGACCTTTAGATTTTGAGTCATTTTACATTCATGAGTGATTATTGTGCTGATCCGTGTGTAACACTGTTTTGAGTACTTCTTGGAGGGGTGGTCTTGTTTTGGTGAATTCCCTCAGTCTTTGCTTATCTGAGAATGTCTTCATTTCTCCTTCATATACAAAGCTTAGTTTTTCAGGGTACAAGATTGTAGGCTGGGCATTATTCTGTTTGAGAAGAGTGAGAATGGAGCCCTGTCTCTTCTTGCTTGTAAGGTTTCAGTTGAGAAGTCTGGAGTTATTCGGGTGGGCTTTCCTTTGTATGTTACTTGCTTCTTTTGCCTTACAGCTCATAGGAGGGCCTCTTTAGTGGATATTTTGGTCAGTCTGATGACTGCATGTCGTGGTGTCTTCCTGTTTGCAATGAATCTCCCAGGGGTCCTCTGAGCTTCTTGAACCCAGATATCTAGATTTTAGTAATGCCTGGGAAATTTTCCTCTATTATGTTTTCAAATAGCTTATCTAACCCTTGTGTATTTTCTTCTTCACCCTCATGGATGCTCATAACTCTCATATCAGGCTTCTTCACATAATCCCACATTTCTTGTAAGTTTTGTTCTTTTCTCTTATTTCTCTGCTCTATCTCTGTGACTAACTTATTTAATTGAAAGGCGTTATCTTCAATCCCTGAGATTCTTTCTTCTGTTTGATCTACCCTGTTCTTGAGGCTTTCCTCTGTGTTTTGTAGTTCCTTGAATAAATTCTTCGTTTCCAGAAGTTTGGTTTGATTTTAATATTTCAATTTCTTTAGTGAATTTTTTGTCCAGATCCTGGATATTTTTTGTGGTTTCTTTGTGTTGGTTATCCATTTTTTCCTGCATACCATTGAGTTTTCTTACAATCCATGTTCAAAATTCTTCTTCTGTCATTTTAGTGTCCTGAATTTGGTTAATGTCCATTGCTAGAGAGTTAGTGTTCTTCTTTGGGGGTGTGCTTTCCGTTTGATTCTTCATACTTCCAGATTTCTTTTGCTGAGTCCTTCTCATCTGGATCAGTCATTACTTCCTACCTTTCAGGTTTTGTTTGGAAAGTAACCACCCTGTTTAGGCTCTGTTCCAGTAGATGCTATTTAGGAGCAAGGTAGATCACAGCTGCTGTCTACCAGCCTTAATGTGTGCACTTCTATGGTCCCTTGATGTTCCACTAGGGGGAGCTGCTAATATTTTGTTCAGGGTTCTTCTACCACAGTTGGGAGGCTGCTGCTGATGGGAGTGGTTACTTGAGGAGCCTATTGTGGCCTCTTGCCAGGACTTTTTTTTCCCTGACCACAGACTCCACTGTTGGCAGCTGACTGGATGCGGAAATCCAGCCCCAGAGTTATGATCCTACTGGAGGAACTAAACTGGTCTGATGAGCAAAGTCACTAGGCTGTCAACTATTGATGTGCACCAAGGCCCCGCAGATTCATGCTAGTCCTCACTTACTGCTTTGTTGAGCAGTCTGCATTGTGATGGACAGTCCCTGATTTGGTCCGTAGTCTCCACTATGGAGGCCAGTGCCTGCTATGACACACTGTGTTGTGTGGGCAGTTCCCACAGAGGTGAACACTCTACACTTTGGTAGGCAGTCCCGTTACTATACACAGTCCCTGCTGTGTTTGGCATGCCTGCTGTTGTGGGCAGTTCCCACTGTGGTACACTATTCCTGCTGGGATGCACAGTCCTCAGGTGATGGGCAGTAACCCCAACAGTGGGTATTT